ATTAAACCGTGGACGGTTTTTTCGATAAGTAATGGAAGTTGTTTGAGTCGTTCACCTTACTTTGGGAATACGATGAAATAAAAAAGATCGTCGACGTTAGTAGAGTGAAAATCGTGAAGATATTCGTGCGGAGCTTCGTGGTTTACTGGTAGACAGCGGATGCCGTTAAACGCTTTCCGTTTAATTTCAGAGGATGCCACATTCTAGCAGCCTATTGTTACCTCAGAAAAGATAAGTACGTCGTAATGGGCACGTTGCTCAATTTGGACAAGGACCCAATTAAGCAGGAAGCATTTTAGGACAAGGAGAGGACAACAAGAGAGAACAAGGCAGGATATCATAATAGGCGTTCAGGCTGAACTTGAAGAACTCGAAACATTTAAATAGCGCGTGGTTTGCTGCCAGGCCACACAGAGGCTATGGTGATGCCCGCATAAAGCAATATATATGTAGATGGTGTAAGAGGATTGCCTGATGGTTCCTTTGCCTCTTGATATATTTCGTAACAGGGGGTTTCCATCTAAACCATTTCGCTTTCGTCGGTTTAGTTTGCAATTCTACTTGATGTCCGTATAAAGAAGTGTTTGTGGCTTCTCCGGAAATTTGCGCGCCGACCTTTTATAAACTGTTCAAAAATTCTCAAATTTGACTTTTTATGGCCTACATCAGTTGTAGGTATAATAAATCAGTGCGGAATTGTGCAGCTAGGATGGGATGTACCCCATACGTGCGGGTACGACAGCTTTCAGGACCGGTTATGAGAAAGAAGAAGACTTAAGATAGGCCCATATTTTACTCAGAATCACCTTTTTAATCGATCGAAGCTTGTCTGTCCGTCTGTACGTCTGCGTCAATCTACAGACCGTAATATTTGAAATTTTTCGATCAAATTTGGTATACTCACGCATTTTGCCCCAAGAACGAATGCTATTGAAAATGTTGCCGATCGGATCACTTTTTCAACAAATTTTCATACAAGACCTCATTTTGAGAAGTCTTCACGTGAATAGCTGCGTGGTGTAGGGTATGGTCCACTACGTTGTTTTTATTTGTTTCAGTTTGTCTCTCAAGATTAATTCACAAGAAAATTCTCCAATATTTAAAATAAACCTGAGAGACGTTTACCTTTCTATGATTGACCCTCAACTGTTGCTTATATGTCAATACGTTAAAATTGCTGCTTTTTGCATTAGCAATCATTAATTGAGATTTTAACATTTAATCGTAAATCATGGAAAGAAGAAAAAAAGATGAAAAAATTTGCAATTTAATAATTTTTTTAAATATATTTATTTTCAATTTTTGCTTTTTTTTTTTAATTGCATATGATTTGAAAAACAGCATAAATTCTAAGGCCGAAATTTACGTATTTTTTGAAATAATTTTTTTTTTTTTCTTTTTAAATATTTTTACAAATGTTTTCTCATTTTTCAGAAAAGAAAAAAAAAAATAAAAAAAAATATTTTAATGCGTTTTTGGTAATGATTTATTTTCGAGAGTATCTTTCGTTTTGTACTAATAAGCTTTGTGTGTGTGAGTATGCGAATAATTTAATGAAAATTTATTAGCGTTTAATTAAACTTGAAGAAAATTTATTTTTTCAATTTGTTTGTAATAATTTTATTTCAATTTTTTTGTTTTTTTTCTTCTATTAAAACCGAAAAAAACATTGCTTAATTTATTTCTTATATAACTATTTTCTTTTAACATTTTTTAAAAAATTATTTATATTTAATTTTTTAATTTTATATATTATACAGGAATTAAATTTTCAATATATTTGCAACATGAAGAAACTGTTTCTAATTTGAAGAAACGTGAAGAAAGAAGAAAATATAAATAATTAAAAAATTAAGAAATTATTATATGGCAGGAAGAGACATCCTTGAATCAATTAGAAAGAATTTGATTTTCAAAAAATAATTTTCACTCGAAAATTTAGAATTAATCCTAAGTTGCTCTTAGGAAAAATTCATTAAGTTTTAAAATGAGCTTTAGACTGCTTTTAGAAAAAAGTTATCGAGTTTTAGCATAAGCACTAGGTTAACTAGTCTAACCTTGGAATTGCCATCTCTGTTAAGCATATATGAAGAAATGAGCATGACAAAGAAAAACTTGCATGTTTGTAAAACTTATTGTCAGCAGTGAAAGGACGATGGAAGGGGGAAGCTACTGTCAGTAGTGAAGGACCAGTAGAAGACAGAGAGTTACTACGTTTTCGCAATGCCTTCAAATTTATCACAAAAATTACGCTTCCGATAGAAAACTAACCTCGACAATTCTGTTCGCCTCTCGGTCGTCACTATTGCCTAGCTAAATAACAAAATCTAGTGTTCAAAGCATATCAAAATTCCCAACTGTCACACACACAGTCACTCTTAGTGAAAGTCTCTGTGAAGAAGAGAACCCACGCTCTGTATATCGCTTAGATAAAAGCCTCCGTTCACTAGGAAAACGGGAAATGTAGCGTGACCTTGGTCGCACTTAATCTGACTGCTAACGCATAGTAACGCAAGGCTGCCCATTAGATTCAAAAACTCTACTTCAGTAACCGAATGTAGAAAATATCATGCTTGGCCAAAAGACGTGTAATACGCCCATGTTCAGTAAAACTCATATTTCTTCTGCTCTTCCGATCAACATAGTCATCTTACTAAACCAAGGATTGCGAAAGTAAGTAACTAATTTTCTAAAGAGCTTATGAAAAGTATGAAAAAGACCATACTTAAGGAATCGAGTACATCCTGTAGGTTTCACTCAAAGTAGGCAAAAACTTCATACGTTGAATTTTGCTCTTCGATATTCATCTGAGTGGGTGTAAAATCTGAAAACATTCCGCAATACAGATATGCCAACTGTACGTTCACGAGAATCGAAAATTTATATTTGCAATATTTATCTCCTGTGACTTAAGTGATTTTAACAGCTACGATACAATGTTAAAAGTTGCCTTTGTATATTCATACAACTCTGCCTCTTTCCTATTGACAAATACTGCTTGTCTACTGAGTTTTTGCAAGGATACCGAAGGGCGTAACAGTTACAGTGAATTCCAAGCGACGTTGTCTCAAGCTAATGATTGATTGAATTGAAGTCTCATACTAAGAGGATAAAGCAAATGATGTCACCTATTTGCTTGCACTATAGTGGACCACAGCCTACCATTAAACCCCCACATTCAACAAACACATTCATCCAACGACTTTTCAAAGGTCAAATAAGTGGTTCGATTCGATCCATTTTCAATAGTGTTCGTTTTTGGTTGGTCTAACCGCATCACTGATCACATGTTCATTGAAATATCTAAGAAATTGTGACGTGTAATTTCAACACAATAAAACAAGACGGACAGGTAGACAGACAGGCAAGTGGACAGATAAGCTTAAGTGACTCTGAAGCGATCGGTGAAATAAAAGAAGGATCTAACGCATGTTCTTGTGGGTGTTGCATACATGTGCATTAAGCTAATATACTCTTATATCATGTGTAGTGGAGAATATAAAAATTTGAAATTTTTATAAAATGCTAACTGGAGAGAAAGTCAAAAGAAGGCTCAATTAGAAGCAAGACAGGGATACGACAACACTCTCTTGGTATGTCTGTCCAAAAGCATGAAGAGATCTATAAAGCAAGTCAGAATATTTTTTCTGTTCATTTTCCTACGTAAGCATTATGGAAGAATGATCTGAATAACTTCACAAGCTAATATAAGCTTAAGGTTAACTAACAGAAAAACAAGTGTACTGATAGAAGTCATAGCTACGTAGTTCGCATGGATCATAGTTCAGATAATAAGTTCGTAATGAAAAAGGAAAAGTTTATATACTTTATAGGTTCGTTTCCCCCTTTTTAACTGGTGCAAGAGTGGAATTGACTCGTGGAAATAATGAACGGCCCATCATCGATGGAGGCTACACTTTGACCCAAATAGAGCCTCTGATACTTATTGCTAGGCTTTAAAAATTCAAAAATTCAGTAAAGATCTCGCTGCACATATAAATTTTAACGGGAAATACAAAACATTCTCTAAAATAACAACCATAAGTACAACGTATAGAAAGGATATTGAAAATGCGAGGACTTTTCATACATAGATCATATCCAACATCAAACTTTCGTTCTCGGAAATTGTTTTTCTTACTTTTATAATATTTTAATAATCAAGACACTACGACGTACGGTATGGATTATTATACACACAACAGTTTATTTACATTTTTTTTTTGTTTCGTGTTTTATTTATTAATATAATTATCATCAATTTCTTCAGGTATAATAATTTCAGTATATATTTTTTTTATTTTTTTTTGCTTTTAATTAGTGAAAAAAAAAACGGATTATAATTTTCTTGAAAAAAATTCAAATAAAAACATATAAGGAAATTACATAGTCGGGCAAAGACGACTATTCAATACTCTACACCACATTGTCACATATTAAAACGTAGACTTTTCTACTCTACAAGCGATCAATTTTCGTGAAAAACCTTGTTACTGTAAAACCTAAAAAATAAGCTGAGTTGGTTCAAATTTGGTAAAGTTAATTTTCAGCATGAAGCATTGAAAATTATACCTTTTTGTCGCTTGAACTTCAGTTTTCATTGTACGAGCGAGGCTCGGAGAAATTGACACAGCCGGTCCAAAGTTTTCATACCAATTTAGCATGCCGAAATACTACTACTTGGCCACTTTTATGGAGAAATTTTGCAAATTTCAATTTTTTTCCATATAACGATTTTTCAGCAAAAGGCATAATATGTGGAGTGTTTGACCCATTTGCAAAGGCTTTCGTCCTTGTGTAAAAACACGCCACTGTTCCGAATTTCATCAAAATATCTCAAAAATTGTGACTTGTGGAAAGTGAACAGACGGACAGACAGGCCCAGATCAATTTAGATTATGATTTTGAATCGATTGGTATAATAAAAGATAAGTCTATCTTAGGCACTTCTGCGGGTTACGTACGTCCGCACTAACTTAATATACCCTATAACACAGGTGGTGTAGGGTACAATTAAAAGAAGCGAAAATATTTGGTTTCACGATGCAAGGAGGAGAGGGGCGTGGAAACAGAAAAAGATCAATTAATTTCCACCAAAATAAAAAGCAAACTAGAAAGCAATTGAGAAGAACAAGAAAATTCATCTCTCACATACTTACGCACTTAAAAGTATACAAGCTGTCAAAATATTTAAGCAAACAGTTGCATTTTTATGGCTTTTTTCCTATTTATGTTTTTTTTTTTTTTATGTTTTTTGCAATTTTTAATTTTAACGAAAATTTTTAAAAATTTTTACTATTTGAAAACAAATATTGAACAGAACTTCTATGTTTAGTCGATGGCATATTCTAACAAAATTCAATTATCTAAATACATTCAATAAGCTGTCCCTGGATGCATCAGATGATGCCCGAAATGATGATTTAAAGGATTTATGGCATCCGTACTGGAGGCGGGAGCAGCCGTATGATACCAATCGCTCGGAGCATGATGTTGATGATGATAAAGCAAATGATAATTGGAATGATGATGACCAGTAACCTGCATAGTGGCAGCAGTTGTATTATTACTGCCTGTCGGCGTAGCGGTAGCGGGACTCATGCCATGCTGATGATGATGGTGATGATGATGAGGATGATGATGGGTTCCGGGTGCGGGCGCCAGCGACGGTGGTGGTCCTAAAGGTGGTGGTAAGTAAGGGCCGGAAGCAGTTGCCATTAATTGCAAAGCGGGTGTTTTAGTTGAATTTTGCACTCCCACCAGTCCGCCACCGCTTCCACTTACTGCAGCACTACCATGATCTAGAAGACCATTGTTATTATTGCCAAGTGCCGTTTGCGAACCGTTACTGTTGCTCTGATGTTGATGATTATGCTGTAAAGCAGGTCCGTTATTACTGCCTCCACTACCGCTCGACGAGGCTCCCATATGTACACTATGCAAACTGGAAGTTCCCGGTTCCGATTTAATAGAAAGAGGTGATGATTTATTTAAATTTCCATTGGCCGATGACAAGCCGTCATTTGTTAATCGAGCCGACGGTGGAGTTTGAGCACCACCCGTTACAATACTAGAAGACGAGGAATCCTCGCCCTCACTCTCATAACCATGAGATGGCGATTTTTCATCCACATTACCGTGCACCTGAAAAATATAAAAAACAGCAAACAAAGCAAGGAGTAAACCATAAAAATTTTTTTTTATTGCTTACAAATAAATTTGAAGTTAAACGGAAAATGCAGGCCGGTGCATTCGCTCGGCCTAAGTACTTAGCCGAATAGGTAATAAGTGAAGTAGCGTGAAAAGCGTAAGTAGAATGGAAAATTGGAATTCGTAAGACGGAAAGTCAGACCCTATGAAGCGGACAGCCAGACATCGGGAACGAAAAATTCGTAGCGTGTAAAATTGAGGACCACAGGCCCAATCATGTGAGGAACTGCATGCTAGATCTCATGCGATGTGATGTTATTCGTTACGCGGACGTTCAGACTCTGTAACATTAAACTTCCGACGCCCTCCGACAAGAGGGACCACGAGAGGAAAGGTTGGATTCAAGAAAAAGAATGTCATCTATCTCTATATCATTTCGTCTAAGTTCGCGCTTTAGTATAGTAGTCCTCTTAAGCAAGCCGTTCCTGACTTTGTATGCGCACAATTTCGTCATTTCATTCCAACCGATATTGTCGAAAGTATTCTTTCTTCCTTTTAAAATGTTCCAAAAATATGAAGCTTCATACATTAAATAAAATTCCACGTTAGTCCGGATATTTTATAAAAGTATCCAACAAGATTGATAATGTATACGGTTTAACTATTGTTTAAATGTGAAGCGAAACAAGTAAGAATGCTGTAGTCGGACAAGGCCGGCCTTTAAATAATCTGCAACACTTAGTAGCACACCGAACATTGTGCTAAATGTTTATGCAAAGTTATAAGTTCCATGAAGGCCCTCAGCTTACACGATATTTGAACGTCAACGCGGTCAAAACTTAATTTACTTCTCAAAGATTTTATTTTATTCCAAGTGCTATCATCATAAACCACAAATTAGGCTTTGCCCACATGCGGTCTCAGAAATAGATTTGTGTGGCCTAAATTCACGATAGCCGATTCACTCAGGACAAAAAATCGGCTTCTTTAGTCAAAATTCGGGAAGGTCGTGTTTTTATATCAAATTATTATTGTGAACGTATTGTCTCTAAAAAGTATTGAAAACTAAGCCTTTTTGCCATATAAAAATTGAATTTCCATAGGACAATGGTCGAGGGTTTAGCGAAAATAGATCGACATTGGACATAATTTCGGCATATTCTTGTTAAAGCAAAGTTCCGATTTGGACAGCGGGGACGATGCTTTTATGAGTTTCGTGGTGCCCGTGGCGGGAAGAACTTTTCGTTAGTAAGGATGTGTAGTGTAAACGATGTTTCGATTTATAGAAAAGCAAAGATTTTAGATAGGCCTCGCTCCCTTGTACCTTAGTAGCCTATATCCATTTGCCATTCGGAAAACAAGTACCCTCGAGACGATGACGGACGTTTTCTTGCTCCCAGTGCAAGGCATAAGGCACCGTATGGAGACCTATGCTAAACACCGAAAGATAAAACTTCTACATTAAAACGAGTTGCTTTGAGACATTTCGCTTATGAAAGCTCCGCTATTTTTGCTACGATCACCTTAGGAATCAAGAACGAGGAGGAAAACTGTAGTGATTGTGCATTTCAGACAATGTTTTACAGACGAACACCAGTTACGTAATCAATTTTCTAATCTATTAACAAATAATATCGATTCTGAACACAAATATATTGTCGGTGATGATGACTGTACTTATAACGATTAAGGAAATTTTCAATTTAAAGGATAAATAGTCTCTTAATAGGTTCTCGAAGTAAAAAGAATTGATATTAATTTTGAATTGTAAAATATTATAGATTGGATATGATTTGAAATTATCGCTGCTGCGTTGTCTCCGTTTCGATTTTAACCAATATTTCATACTTACTCTTCTCGCACTTACCTTCATATGTTTGCGCAACGATGAGGGATGCGTGTATGATTTATCACAGCCAATATGACGACAATTGTAGGGTTTATCCGAGGTATGAACATGCGAATGTTTCTTACGATCCGATGAATTAGCAAAACGACGCTCACAATCCTTAAATTCACATTTAAACGGTTTTTCACCTGAAATTGAAAAAACAAAAAAAGAAAAAATTTTTTTTTAAAAATATTTAAAAATTATAAATAAAATCTTAAATAATTTGAATTTTTCGTTAAATGAAAACTTGATTGATTTTCTTAAATTTGACTATAAATTCATTAAAATGAATTTTTAAAATCAAAATTTTTTTTGCTTTTGTTTTTATTTTTTCATATATCATTTTAATTTATTTTCTTTTATGCTTTTGTACACACATATCTTGGTGACTTGGTGGTCTTCATAAATTTTCTTCTCAAATCGAAAGAAATATAAGGTAAGCTTTTTGCTTTGCAAAGGAATGCAGAATGCAGAACGACGATGACGATGGCAACACTTGATGATTAATTGCTAAAAATGCTCGAAAGAATTATCTTAATGTGCTTGCTTTCAAAATATCATATAAAGGGACATTGAATTAAATGAAACTTGTAGACTAAGAAATTATATCTTATGAAATTTTATGGTTAATAAATAGTCAAATGCAAAACTTGAAGAAAACAAAAGAAAGAAAACTTGAATTGCCTTTGAAGCGTTTCATGGCCTCGTCGCATCACCTTAACTATAAGATAAGCAAGAAGACTATAATGGGCATCAGCCTTTATATCTCCCTACAGTTGCGCATACAACGACTTCAAATACTTTAAAATAGCGTATCATAAGTGGTTCGATCCGAACGATTGTCTATAGCGCACGTCTTTGAGTCAATTATCTAAAAAATTACGCCCTACAGGTTGAACACCAAAAAACAGACAGACAGACAGACAGACAGTCTTAAGTCTATTCAGGTAATGATATTGTATTGGTCTCTAAAATAAAAGATGGGTCCATCTGAAGTCCTCCTGGCTTTGGTCTTTAAGCCAATATACCAAACTTTATCGATATCTCTCAAAAATTACGCCCTTTAGGTTGAACATCAGAGAATAAAATGGACAGAGAGGCTTAAATCGATTGATCGGCGTATCGAAAGGTGAGTTTATCCGAAATGCATCTGGGCATGCATCTATACAAACTTGACATATCTTTGGATAGCAGGTGGTGTTGGGTATAAAAACTGGCTATTAATTGCATGCCTGCGACCTTGGGACATCCAAGTAAGGAGTGACAATTCCTTATTGGGTCAAGGTTTTCTACGAAGATGAAAATGAATAGGCTGTGGAATGTCCGGGAGACATTCTTTACTCATTTATTCTTCGCCTATCCAAATACACACGCAAGAGCGACGCCAAGATGGTACATGTTTTAGGTCAATTCGAAATTGTAAATCGATTTTATCGATCCGTCTGCTCGTGTCCTTTTGCATTTCCATTTTTTTTCGTTACTTTGTTAGTTCCTCTTTCCATTCTTCTGTCAGTCCCTCTTTCCATTTTTCTGTCTATCTATTATTTTGCAACCCCGTTCATCTGTTTAGTCGCTTGTCTGTTTGTCTACTTATTTATCTGTTTTCGCTTTCATCCATCTTTCCGTAAAGTTTGCCCTGAAGGCATTGCAACTCTTTTATTAATTGCAAGCAGATTTGTTCGAATACCTTGTGTCTATCTTTTTTATCTTAAAAAAAAAGAATAAAATATTCATGCTCCGCAATATTGAATTTTCCTAATTTTGTTTAAGTAGGATCGCCATACCCGTGGAGTTGAAATACGCGCAGTAACAGCTCTCGCTCCTGAAAAACTCGCTTTTAAAAACATAGGAATTCTTAGTTTACATTATATGTTAGGTGCGTCCTTTGACTAATATGATCCATTTTGATTACCAACCTGCCTGCGGGAATCCCCAATGTTTTTTACCGAGTTTGAAGCCGAAATCTCAATCTTTACGACCGCGAATTTCCTTATCAGCGACGAACAGATGGACATGCTTACGTCGAGCGAAAATTTCGTAACGATCAGGGATGTACTGACTTTTTAGAGTCTCTGAAGCTTTGTCCTGGATGTTTTAAGAATTTACGTATTCCCGAACTCTTTACGCTCGGTGATCTGAAATCAGTTAAAATCGATTTTATCGATGTCTAATCGATATCATACGAGCTGAGGAGGATAACTTTTTCTTCTTTTTATATTGCAATTGAAAGCTTTTTGTAATTTTTTCCTCTTTTTAATTAAAGGGAACTCAGTCCCACGAAAACAAATAAAAACGTAGATAGATCGTGTTATTGTGAAGCTAATGAATCCATAAATTTCTTATAATCGAAAAAAAATTTGAAAGTTTCTCTAATGAATGTTATAACTATTTCACAAGATATTTTAAATTAAAAAAAAAAAAAAAATTTTTACCGAAAACTTTTTTTATATTCGGTCCATCGACCATAAATAACAATATTTATGTCTTAAGCACTTCTATATATAAAAAAGGTTTAACATAAAGGAATAAAAAAGAAGAAGAACTATGAGCAATGTGATGGCATGTCCTGCAAGCAACACTACTCAACTCTTAATAGTTAAACAACAGCACCAACAACAACAATTACTACAACACTTTCCTTGACATTACAAGACAAAAGAGTTGTAGATCATAAATTACAATGCTGTGTGGGGTGTGTATCCATACAATGTTAAAAAAACAAAAAAAAACAAAAAAAAGTGAGAGAAAGAGAAGAATGAAAAAAAGAAATAAATAAAAAACAATGCTAGAAGATAATATTAAATTGATTAAAGATGAAAATGTTGTTTATTGAATTTTCATTTTTTTTTTATTAGTATTTGTATTTATTTAGTTGACGTTACTTAGCACCTGTACGAAATTGTGAAAAAAAGATTAGCGGTTAAGGTTAAAGGATCACTTGATTAAAAGTAAGTAAAAAGTAAAGTTATTTTTTTTATTTTTCATAATTTATGGCTTATGGGTTTCTTGTCAACGCAAAGACATTCATTCGGTCGGTCGTTGATGCCATTTTATAAGAACAAAAGAAAGGTGTTACCTGATAATATTAAATTTCACGTTTTTCTTTTTATCATTTCATTGAAAATTATTTATGTGAATGTATATATATATAAAATTTGGAATTTCGTGTAACCATAAACCTTAATAAAATTAAACTAAGAAATATGCATTCATACCCTGACATGATGAAGCTTGTATTTTGAATTTTGAAAAATTAGTTTGAAAAGTCCAAACTACTCTAAATAACGATTGAATGTTTTTTCTTCTTCTTCTTTTTTTTTTCAATATCCTACACATCTTGTGGTAGAACAGAAAATTTTCACATAGATCCACCTCTTATTATACCGATGGTTTTCGATTCACTTTCTGAATCGAAGTTAACTTCTGCTTGTCCGTCTGTCTGTCTTGCTTTCCTTCATTCAATCTACAACACATAATTTTTGAGATATTGTGATACAATTTGCTACACTGACGCGTTTCGATCCAGCGGTGAACACTGCTGAACATGGTTCGGATCAAACCATTTTTTTGACCACTTTCCATATATAAATCCTTATTTTGAATATCTGTAGTCTGTTGTAGGGTATTTAATGATGGCTCGTAATCACCTTATTTTTAGTAATGAGATATTATGATGTATTGGGGTTACGAAGATTCTTATTATTGCCATTCTACGTGCAGACATTTTGTTTAACATTAAGGTTACGATCCCTGTTAAGTATATTGCCGGTAATGCGGGTTAACGGCTAACGCTGAGGTTAAAGCCTTCATTGGGGTTCCGTTACGGTTATTCTCTGGTTTAAGGTTATGATGATGTTTGAACTTATTCTCTTTTTAAGAGGTTTCGTTCTCATACGAGTAGCAGCTTCTCATTGATATTAATCTTCCTGTTTAGGTTACCGTTTCCCTTGAGGTTATGGTTAAACAAAGATTGTCGTAACGAACCCACGATCTTGAGATTAAGAGCCCGGCTAGCTCAGCCGGTAGAGCATGAGACTCTTTACCTTAGCTTGGCGCCACTTTTATGTGAGGGCTGTGTTTGGAAATCACTGTGTGTCTGAATATCAAACTATTGACTTTATGATTTTTAAGGCGACTCTGAAGTGCCACGTGAAGAGAATCGAAAGTTGTAGAGACGGATGCACGTGCCATTGCTGAGTTACCTAGTTCGGGAGATATAGATGGGACGGACAGTCCACAGACGGTGACATTTAAAGGAATTGCACATACTTTACACTTGTAGGAATAGCGGGACAGATAGTAAGCCCTTGGTTGTTTTGTACCCTACCCGAATCGAGGTCTCCCTTTGAAAATCATGGGCCGAAGGGAACCATAGCTAGGATGGAGTACAGAATAGCCCAAGGCTTATGTTTGCGCTACAGGGAAAATTATGCTTATTCGGAAGTACACAACACCCAGAAGCACTTGAGATAGATTCACCGTTTATTGCAGCAATCGAGTGGGAGTCACTTTCCAAATACATCCAAGTTTGCCTGTCTCTTTTGTAACCCTATATTCAATCTACAGGTGGTAAGCTTTTGATATATATTGTTAAAGTTTGTTATAGTAGCATGTTTTGGTCCACGGACCACTTTTTCGATGATTTCCCCTTATAACGCCTTATGTTGCATGGCCGTTATAAGAATAGCTGTAGAGTAGATGCAAATAATAGCGTCGAGTTTATTCAACGTCGACAGACGTGAACTAGCTTCTCGACCCGCCGACTTGGGAGTTCCCCCGACATCGACGGTGGCAAACCGCAAAGCAAATATTAGCGTTGAGTTTATTCGTCATAGACAGATATAAGCCTACCCCAGGGAATCGATGTTTCGCTAGCGTTCTGCAATTCCATTCTCATGACCAAAAATTACATTTTCAGCCCACAAATCCCGCCTAAAAGTAATTTTTGCACAAAAATTCTTTAGGACGATCTGATGTAGTTTCTTGACATCAAAGGGGCAACAATCCTAATTTAAAAACTCATTTAACCAGGTATGAGCTCCACCCCACGTGAACAAAGCGTAACCCGTGGTTCATTGTTCCGATGAGAACTTTTAATAATTCCTGCACGCTATACAGCAATGTATTTATTGTATTACATAATATA